TTATATTCACAAGCAAATAATCTTTACAGATAAAAGTCATTTTAGTGCTACAATATAATTGAAAGTGCTTGTTTTTTTTATAACAGAGACCAATCTTCTTCAATTCGTTCACATCACAGTTTTAAATTAACGGATGATTACATTCTTTCAAATGAGGATCCTGAATTAGCCATAGAAATGGTAATTTAAGTCGTTCTAACAGATTTAGCTATGCCGACCACCAATTATGTGTGTAATCATTCGACATTGAATCCAATCTGTGAAGTTTATAATACGCTAGTTTATGGTATTATAAACTTTTATCGTCTAATTTTAAAAGACGTGTCCAAAATAAAATTATTACTTTTATTCTAATTACCGATATTCATGAAACTACAAACTCCGATTGCAACATGTATTCTAGAATTTTATTATATAATATAAAAATTTTTCTAAAATATAAAGCAAGATCGATTTCTAGTTTATCGTAGTAACAAACTACGGTATTGTGGTTTCGCTATGAATGCATTTCCATCTCTCTTATTTATGAATGTATGTTTCGCTGCTTTTCGTGTGTCGGATGTTGCAAGAAAAATCTCCACGGTCGTCTACACGAAGTCACTTTCTTGTAGTTCTCACGTGCAAGAATCTGCATACAAATTATCCATCAAGTGTCGTGAGAAAATCCCTCATTTCACGGAATGAAATACCGATTTTTGGTATTCACTAATAAGCCAATATGAACAATAATTTCAAATTATTAAATTTATAACATTTATAACTTAATATTCTAAATTTATTAGTAACAACTACCTCTACAACGATCAAACATCAAACACTTAGAAATGTTCTGAAATAAAATTATTTCATAAAATTTGTTATTATTGTTATTTTAATTTACTTCCAAAAAAGTAATTTTTGTTAAAATTGAATATCTTTATTGAAATTTTTCTGATATGAATATATTCGGATGAACAAACGTAAATATTTTCTTTTTAACAATATAAACCATTATTTCATTATATTTTATTACTGTATTATTGAATCACTGTGTACATTATTATGTGGACGTGTTAAATTTCAAGAATCTGAGTTTTGTTTTCTTAAACTTTTCTTAAAAACTATAATTTTGGATTTTCGTCACTCTTACTGTAAGAATATTCTTATAGCTTTGTTATAAACTATTTCTGATAGACAGCCGGATAACAGATCGATTAATGTCATCATATTGTTCAGTATTTCTGGTAAATATCCAGATAAATCGAAAATCCCGAAGTGACACGTCTTAGATTTTTCGGGTGCCATTCCTCTACATTTTGTCTCTTATCTTTAGATTGGCAAACTCACGATGCGGTTGACTGAAATAATTTCCTTGGTGTTCTTCAGACATAAAATTAGAAAAAATATTTATATTTTTTACAAATTTCTAATTAATTTTAAAATTAAAAAAAGATGTATACAGGTCACAGAATGAACACAAAACAACCAGAAAGTTCATTCATAATAGTAAAAGTGTGTTAGTCCTATACCATACAGGTAACAAGTTGTCAAGTATGCTGGAATATCTGATGTTTTTCTAATAATTGTATATTTTTCTTACAAGATTGCTCTGCCATGTGTTTTTTCACTCATGGTTACATATTATGTCACCACAATCGAATAAGCTTCAGACGTTACTGAAAACAGACATAATATAGAAGCCTGATGTGAAAGTCGCGTAGCTTAGTCGCAGCTTTTGTTCATTGTTAGTGTTATAAACAATTTCCTCGTGCACTCATGTTTGTTATATTTCGGATATAAAAATAACATTAAATCTGAAAATCGATATGAAAAATAAAGCCTTTTTTTAACAACACACAACAGTTAAATCTGTACATGCTTTACTTTTGCTAAACAGGAAGTAACGTCACATTTTCACCTCTTGTTTTATAAGCTCTAAACGTGGGAAATAATTATAGCAATAATAATGCTAATGATACGGTATAATAATAAGATAATTTCTTTACACAAAAAAAGCAATTACGAATATTTGTGAAACTTCCAAAGATTTATAAGCTAATTGGTTAATTTATAGATGCCGGTTTTTCTTAAACGCTTGAGATGTGGGTCCTATTATTTTGATAAGGATCTGTTTGTTTTAGGGCAACATGCTTACTAAGTTTTGTTTCAATCGAAGACACTTTTTGTCCCTCTTTTTGTAAGCTTCAATTCGTGACCATTACCGGAATTTACGTGTTTTAAAATAAAAACGATATAACGAAAGAAGCTGATAAGAAAAAGCAATATCTGGCTAAAAACATGACTAAAATTCTTTTATGTTTTCCAATGTATTATGTTATTTTACACTTGTGCTCCAGGCATAAAATTTATATTGCTTAAAAAAATTATTACGTTTATTGCTGATAATTTATTCGTATTAGAATAATTTCAATTAAAAACATTCTTTGATAAAATAGCGAAAATAAGTCCTAATAAGTGAATAATTCCTAACATTTCTCAAAAAAGACAATACATTAACCGCTTTTTGTCCACTTTTTTAAAAAAATTTTTAATTAAGCATAAAAAAATACTTAAAACTGAAAAAAAACGACAGAAATGCGTTAATTTTGGTTAAAAAGCTTTATCATTTAGTTTGCTTTGTCTCTCCTTTCTGTGAAATTTAACACCAATGAGTCATTGTTTACACATCTGAATGACCTTGAGAACAGCTGATGACGTATTTCCCGTGACATTCTCATAGACGTCTCGGGAGGAAAAGGTTTAAAGTAGGGTGACTAGAAACTAAACCTATATTTTTAAATGTTTTTAAAAAAATTATAATTTTTATTTCGATTTCTGACCCCACCTAATTAATTAAACATATATATAATAAAATCTATTTATTAAAAAAAATTAAAAAACTATCGGAGGTCGTTTTTGACATCAGAAAGCAGCTTTAAATAACTTTACCGAAGGAAATCGCTGCACTACAACTTTAGAACGATTAATTAATTTTGATAAAAACTCCCATTAAAAAAAAACATTAAAAAGCAATTAAGCCTTAATCGAGCCTTATCAAAGGCTCATTGTAAAATATTTGTCTTACTGTGAAATATGTGTACGTATTCAAGTATTTATTTATTATCTCAAATTAAGCCAGAATTAAACGTTTTTAAATATATATACGTATGATGTTTAATGTATAAAATATATGACAAAGCAGTACACATGTGTAAACAGTAAGTTAAAAATACACAGTCACTATGAATATAAATATAAGCTCAGATATTTCCCATTCTGTAATCGAAAACATTTGCCAGTTTTATGAAAAGTAAAACAGCAAAAAGCTTCAGCCGAGATTGTTTATTATAAATTAATTTTATTTCTTAAATATTAAGCTTAGTTGTAACCTGCAAACATATTGTGGTGCCATAATGCTGAATTGCAATTTTTCATTATATTCTTTACAATTATAAATTTTTCATTTTAAATTAGTAGTTTCCCCTGTACATAATACTGTTTCTAATAACTACAGAATCGTGCCAGTCATCTACGTAACTGCGTTGGGAGGATAGTTTTTTTTCAGACAATAAAAAGTTTTCAGTAGAAACAACAATTCGAATTTATTTGTCGATGTCACAGTTCCACAAGGGTCTATTTCACATGTATACATATTTTGTGAGAAATTTTTATTAAGTCTGACCCCTCTGAAAATACCTTGCACTATTCCCCTCCCCTCGACCTTTAGTTACCAAAATTGAATAGTCTCGATTCCCTTTACATGAATGTTACCGTGCAAACTTTTTATCTTAATGCTAGCGTATTCTGAGATATTAAACGAAATAGACGTGAACACAGACAGACACATATTGCTGTTAAGTAACAAAAATTATAATCTAAACTATTTTTGACGAAATAAATATGTGAGATCCGAAAGGCCCTAGGCCTCATTTAATAATTTTTATTAAATATGCTTAAATATCGACACAAATTATTACTTCGTTTTGTGAAAAATTAGTGTTTTAGACGTGGGAAAAGATAGATAACAGATGCTACTTCCGTTAAGGGAAGTCCGTACATCCTCTGTTTTTCCCTTATCCGTTAAAAATCTCGCTTAGATGAGAACTTTCGACCCCTCTTCGATTCCCCTTTCATCCGCTCACATGAACGAAGTTCAAGCCGATGATTGGACGAAATTTTTGGAATAAAAGGGGAAATTAGTCAGAATTCGAGGAGTTCTTCGACAGATCCGAAGCATCTAAACTCCACGCAGTTTTCCTCTTGATGGCCAACGCCCTAAACGGAGTCCGATACACTAAGACCCGAGTCTACACTGAGAAGAAGTGATATCTTTATATTTTGTGCACCAATTGATCTCCCGTATGAAAGTAATATGAACTCTATATGAAGGGGTCCTCTACCTACAGAAACGAAGACGACGACAACTAACAGGTCGTATGTTTAGAATCATTTTGTGAGCTCTCTCTCTCGATCGCGCATTAGCATAGAAAAGGTCGTAGCCTCTAGCTTGTCGCTAAATGATTGTAATCGAAATTTTTGTATTCGTTTGTTTGAGATTTATTAAATTTACTCTTGTTTTATTTTATAAGAAAGTCTCCTCAATTTATTCCGAATCAGATCGAAACCGCGTGTTAATCCGCGTATAATAAGTTTGATTAACTGGTGTCAAGGAATCCTGACGAACGTCTGAACTTCGCGGTTCAGATCATCTTTGTTTACGCTCTCCTATCAAAGCTAGAGAACTGGTCTTACCGACTAGTGCCCGTAAGTGGCGTAGATTGAGCTCTACGTCCCGGTTGATCTCACAAATAAAATATTAGTGGAAATGAACATTTTGAAATTAATGCTATATTTTGAATTGTTTCGAATATAATAAACTACGACTCCGACACACGTGAATGACTGCGGATGGATAATTAATATTAAGTTTCTTAATATTAATTAATTATATTAATTAATATTAAGTTTCTTAATATTAATTATCCTTAATTTTAATATTAAGTTATAATCTTTATGTGACCTCACCTTCATCCATGACATTCACTTCTTCATCTCATTCCAATGGATCTTGGTCCATGCCCAATTTCTCAGCGGATTCCTGTAAAAATTGAAAACTTTTGATTCCTGATAGGATAATCTCACAATACTCGTATTGCTTCTATTTTACTAACTTAGAAAATATTTATTTAATCATAAATAAACGATTTCCATTTATTTTAAGTAATACATTTTATAACATTGTGCATAGTTGTCACGGGTTTTTTAGTTGTAAATTTTTAACTGATAAGAATTATTAAATTAGTTTAATTTGAGGATTCTCGTCCTACGGCAACAATTATAGTTAATTAATAATTTTAAGACAGTTTTTCCCAAAAGAGGAATTATTTTTAAAATGTTTGTATTTCTAATTGGAAGTTGTCTTGGGTATTTTAAAGGACTTTTTAACGTTTTACTGGCCAGTAGCCTAAAATGAAAGGTCAGTCGCAAAAATTGTATTGCCTGGAACACAAAAGTAATAAATAGGGGTTCCTATTTTAGGAAGGACTGTGTTTTAAAATTATTAAAATTAGTTTCATTTATTTTTATTAAATTGTAACTTACAGAAGAAGACGATTTTGCTTCTTTTCTTCTCTTACTTACCGCCAGATCCAAAATAATATATACTATTACGTCGACAGAATCCTCCGCGGTCACTTCTTTTCGATCAGATAAACCTTCCATTTCATACTCATAACCTAGACATTAAAAGTTAACACAATAAACACAGACATTCGTAAATATTTCTTTGCCTGAATTCAAAATTATATAGTAATTTGAAAAAGAGAATCAAAGCAAATCATAAACAGTTTACACCAAATGAACACATGAAATTGTTATTCTGGAAAGAAATTCTGAAAAATTTTTCTATAGGAAATCAAAAAAATAATAATAATTAAAATAAAGAAANAGTATACCCGTTTTTCAAAAATTAGCCAGCTTTAGCTAGTGATTTTAATAAATATTACTTTAAATATCAAAATGTTTTATTTATATTTTACATTTACATTCATCATTTACTATTTCCAGACATCAACATTAAATTTGTAGTTTTGATATAATACAGTTGTGTAGAGTTATTTCACTTGTGGGTTCGTGGTCAGGTTTTTGTTATGAGAAAGGGTCCCAGGGCATACCAGATAAAGTTTGGGAACCATTGATTTATAATGATTACACAAATATGATTTTGTTCATTTAATTTAATGGAATTCGGCAACCCAACACGTGGGCGATTTGCAGAGGGAAAGATCTTCGGAAAGGAATTTCTATGAAAAACTTCCTTATTTCGATGTTAAACACGTGTAGTAAAGCCGGGTAATTTCAGGTAGCTAGCTTTTTTTTCAGTTTTGACTTTCCATTGTTTCTACCGTATGCAGGAAACCAGTTTTGAAGTGAATAAATATCATTAAAATTTTTACTTATAAATAATGATTAAAGTTCTTAAATTAGTGGAGAACGAAACTCCACTTTCGTCACTTGTAAGTAAATTTTCTAGTGCATTTTTTATCGCCGCTGTTACATAAAAAAAAGTATAACGATTAGTCAAACAACAATCCTCAAATTTTTACATTTTTTAGACTCAGAGAACCTTCAATGTCGAGAAATACAAAATCTTTGCAGGTTTTTTTTTGTATATGGGAAATTAGTGTGGGAAGAGAGACGATTTCTTTCATCCACTTCGAAGCTTAGTAACTCATCTGTCTCTCCAAGAGGTAAATAAATTATTTAATACGAATATTAATCAAGTATTATACGAAAATAAATGTATCGAATTATTCTGGTGCATTGGAGTAATTATTATTGTTTATATAAAACACACATTTCTCTTAATATCATTAATATTGGAACAGAACTATTATCGTATATTAATTATGAGAATAGTACCATTAAAAATTTGGAAATAAATTTCTTAATGGAAGTTTTATGCATATATTTTGGCAAAACGACAACGAAGTCAGCAAAAATAATTTAGAAATTCACGGAAAATTTTACGTATTATCAGCAGTTGTCTTGGATTTGAACTGATAACGTTGTTCCGCGTATTCTACTACGCTGTCTGCAACCTTCACGATAATGGTCTATCGAGTTAAAAAAAATATAGAATAGAATTTTTCTATAGGTATAGAAAATTTTTCTATAGGAAATCAAAAAAATAATAATAATTAAAATAAAGAAAGATCAATTAATACCCGCTTCAATCATAAAATCAACTGAAAATGTAATACTATTGAAAAGTTATTGTTAGTCGAAATAAATGAACGAATATTTATTAGCGTATACTCAGAAGCTTAATTTATCTTCATTAATACAACTGAATAAAAAGTCTGAGTAAAATGTGCTTTAAATATTGAGTTTGTAGATGAAGTATAAAAATGTAAATAATGAAATGATTATTTATATTTTTATACTCCAGAAGCAACGATAAAAAAAATAAAGAAAAAAAGTGGTTAATTTTAACAAATTAGAAATAATTTTTTACTCTTTCAAAAAACAAAACACCTTAATTTGCTGAGAAAAAATTTAATGTAAAGCTAACGTTTTCAGCCAAATCAGTTGGCCATCGTCAGGCTAAGAACATTTTACTCTTTCGTTATGTGAGGATCCGAATCTAGTATGTTTATCTCATTTCATCACTTCACAGTGTAGCTATACTTTCGTTTAATAACTGTCAACTTTTAAACATAGGAGCTAAACATCTGTTATGTTCTCAGGCTTATTAATGACGCTTTCTCATCACCTTTCGACCTCAAATCTCCGTTCCAACAATATAATTTGAAAACAGAACAACAAAGTGAGCAGACGTCGCCCGTACTCGAAGAGATCAGTCTCAAGTTTCGTATCTTTTTCCCTGTGCGTTGTGCTTTTCACTGGACCACGGACTTATTTAAGTGCCTATTCTTTGGATTAACATCGACCAGAAATATTTGATTGCTTAACTGGACTAACTTCGTTGTCAAGACCTACTAGCAACTCATTAAAACTCAAGGTATTTATCGCCACGCGCAACTTATGTAAACTCTCTCTCTCTCTCTCGAGAACCACGGAACTGTACCCGAAATCTTACATTTATTTTAATGTCTATTAACTATATCTAATATCAATTGTAGCAAAGATCTCTAACAGCTAGCATATTTCAAATCGATATATTTTATGCCCTGTATGGCCTATAGTTACCAATTAAATAATTGTTACGTTGGCCAGTCTCTGAGTAAGTCACTTCCGGTGCGCTGTCTCTCTCTCCATCCCAAATCCGTTCGCTCACACACGCGATCGTTCGAGCGAGAACACAACAGTTTCTGTGTCTGTCCGTAAAGACACAGTAGTGTCATCCTGACGAAACTTGTCATTGCGATCTTCGCCGACGTGATGTCGACCCTTCGATCACGTGGTGCCGAAGTATAGGGAGGCCATTCAGCATTGTCACAGTTACAAGTATTTTCTTATAAATGAGCAGTGTTTGCATTTATCTAGCGGCGAACATCGATTTATTTGCTGTATCTGTATTAAGCAATATCGATGAATAATATAATAGACCAAAACATTTTGTAAATATAGAAATATAGCATTGTTCAATGACCTAAATCTGAAATGTACTCAAAATAAAGTCGTAAGTATACATTAAAAACTGGTACATTAGCCTATAGATTATAGTCGTGACAATTTTTCATAAGATTATTTTAAATTAACAATAGATTTTAATTTTATTATTGAATATCTTATCTTATTTTGAAAATGTTGATGTCATTTCTGTTCGCATCTTTCTATTACGCAGAAATGTAGAAATAACATAATAAATTATTATTCGTGTGCAGAAAATACCTTTAACGTTCGAATTGTCTCCAGCAGAAAACAACTGCAAAGTTAAATATCGTTAATGACGCTAAGAAATATCTGATTATAATTTTCAGGTTCCTAAGAATTCATGTTTAAAATAAGTGACACTTTCTGATTAAAAATATTTAATAAATCAAAGTTAAGTATGAAACTATTCTTGGTGCATGTTAACTGATAGCTTTTACTGCTCTTCTCTGTTTCGAAATTCGTGCTAAATGCACAATTTTTTAATGACTGATTACAATGAAAATATTTTTAACGTAATTACGAAATTATAAAATTTCAGAAATATTTCAACAAATTTTTGAACGTAAAAAAGACAAAGAGAAAACGCGTTACTTTAGCTGGAAAACAACCACAATTACATTTATTTATTAATGTGATTAAAATCTAATCACTGTAAATGTTATTAATTTATATTAGATTTTTGTGGATCGTTCGTATTCAAGTGAGAGGATGAATTCCTTATCAACAAATAACTTGGTTATAAAACTTTTGAAACATTTGGTAAGAAAATACTAATAATTTTATGTTTTTGTTTTTATATCGAACACGTTATAAAAGAGTTAATACAATTATACAATAAAAATATAATTTAACTTACAAGAAATATTCATTTTTTAAAACTAAATTCGCATTCGACACCTATTTAATCTAACAAATCGCTTCGACAATCGCCGAAAATGTATTGTTGATATTTATTGTTTACGCAACAATGAAAAACGTGCTTACCAAAATGATGACGCGTGCTAAGCGTATTTGAAGTCGTTTTATTTTTGGGTTTTCTCTTCGTCGACAGTTTATCGATAATGTCAACCCGATCGGCGTAGCGTAAATATCTTTAATCGAAATTCATATTGAAAAACTCTGGGTGTCACAGCAATTTTTAAATCACTACATTCATTGCACTAACACAATGAGCAAAACTTAGTCTTTTTTTTCAAATTCGATAGCAAAATCGGCAAATTCTTTTCTGTGTGAAATCTTTACGTAATTATTTGCCAATAGTTTGACAAGTTTCATTAATGATGGTGCAAACAGTCGATCTACTCATTCGAAATGCAAAAGCTTGGGAAAGTTTTTAATCTCCACCAGCTAAATCTCTAAAATTACGAAACATATTTTTACTAAAATTTTATTTGTTTATTTGTCGTTTTGTTTATTTTCTTCCTTTAGATTTTCTCCTTCCTATAAATATTAAACGCACGTGAAGACAGGTATACGAATTGCTGTTTTTATTTCATTCTCTAGTTTCTGATTATTAAATGAAGTTTCCGCGTGTGATCTGAATAAAGTTAGCGCTGGAAATTTTTTCAAAGGTATAAATGTTATAGCAGCCGACGACCTGTAACAGCAACAAGTAGAATGGCAGACTGACATGTGAGCAAATTGCTCGTAATCAAAACGAAACGGAATTGTTTTCTTTTGTAAGTTATAATTCTATCGAAATAGTGAAAACTAATTTAACAATAATTATTTTTTAAAGGTTTAAATTTGAAAAACACAACACAACAATGCACATTGGTGTAAAAAGTTATTTAAAATGGTGGAAAATTAATTATTTATTAAATAAATTCTTTTCTGAGTCAATAAGAAAAAATTCGAGTAATGTAACACTATTCTAACAGGAATTAGAATTACTTCCTCCATTCTCTGCATTCGTCAATAGTGTATTATACTTGCTTATAACAAAAACTATTGAATATGGATTGAAGTAAACGTTAACATTTGTTAATATATACCCTATTTTTCAATTTTGCAGGATTTTTTAATGAATAAGCCTCAACACGCTCCTGTTGTTATTCAAGTTGATCTGAAAGCTCTTTCGACGTCGCATCGTGTTGCGGGTGTATATTTGAAGTTGGCCAAGATTTTCTGAATCAATTTCTACTGCAAGAAAAAACTGCAATTTTTCTTCTTGTATAAAGGCTCGTTCTTAAGTAAAACATTAAATTCTGAGTTTTTCAAGGGAAGTCCGGAAATTTAAAGTTTTTCTTCATAAACCTGATTATTAAAGCGAAACGAACTGACGAAAGATCGGGCTATAAGCTCAATGGCTCTAGTAAAGCAGCCAGGATAAAACAAATCAAGAATTAAAGACGGTAAAAGAACTGTAACGCAATAATAGTAATAATAATGATGTTAATTGAAATAAGAATTATCACTAATTTCTGTTGAAGAGTTCGTATTCTAAATTAAAAATATAATTAAAAAATTGCAGCACGGTATTGTGCGGTTGTCACAATAAATATTAATTAATGAAAACTTAAGAGTTAACTTGTGTTTAGTCAGAATGATGATAGATGACTTTATGTTAATTATAACCACTTAATAAGTTTTTTAATACAACGTATTAATAGGTACAATCGCTTTTATGTTGTAGCATATAAACAAATGACTTTGCTACAGACGAAATTTAAGATGGAACTACGCATAAAACATTCTTTGCACTCAGAAACAAAAGTAGTTTACATTATTTCTGATGAAAACAAGAAATAGCCATTTATACACCGACATCAATAGCCGTTAACATTCAGAAGTTAAGTATGACATTCATTACGAACCTCTGAATTTATTTTTATTTATTGAATTTAGTTTAATTGACGTCTGTGCAGTGTGAATAGAGTATAACTATCAAATAAAGTTAGAAAAAAAATATCGTTTTGTTATTTAGACGTGAATACACTAGAAAATATTTAACAGCTTTTAAATAGCTTATCTGAAGCACTTTAATAAATACAGTAAAATAGATAAATTACAGGCCACATATATCATATGAATTATATTTAAAACAGGAAAATCAGACAATTATCTGTTCATACTATATCAAATTTGGTATATTAATTATATCCTAATTATGAAGTACCGAAAGTCGTATTCGTTATTGAATATTTCAGGAAATTGCAAATTCAACTATTTTAAAATTACAGGCGAATTACATATATTTTTGTGTTATTGTGTATCTGGTATAATATTGAAAATAAAGTAAACTTTTGAAACACGAATAGCTTAGTACTTTAAAAATTTATTGTAAAAATATAATTACAATAGATCTGATGTATATTGTCTAGTGTAATTATTAGTACTACAGATGGGAAGACACTTTACTAAACTATAATAAAATTTCTTACATCCACAGAGGCTATTTACAACTACAGATTTTCTGTACTTTGTTCAACCGTTTGTTCTTTAATTGAATTCAAACATATTTTGAAATATTTTTATACTTTTATATATATTTTCTGGATAAAAATTTATTTATTATAACAAGACATTGCTATTATAGTTGCATGTTATAGCGAGTTTATGAACTAAAAAACAAATATAATTTAATCAACAGCTTAATCTTTATTAGCTCATTGCTCCTGCAAAATTCTGAACTGTAAGTAGTTGTTGTAGTTCACTATATCCATGCAGTATGAAATATCTAATATGCTGCTGTTAGAAATCATATATACCAATAAAATATACTCATGCGAGCAGAATAAAATAAATAATGATTATTTTTAAACATCTAGAATAGTGTAAATCGTGAAAGAAAATTTAAGAAATATTGAACTCTATTTATATAATGCCCATTTCCAAAAATTGAATTTATTCTAAAATTACGTGAATTGTAAATTATATGTTTAGGCTTTTAATTACTCGTACATTTATAAATGATAACATCTACGTGCATCCGCAGAATGTGGATTCTCTGCTATTTTGACATCCTTTTGTAAATAACGAAGTTATCGAGATGATTGTAGGAATAACAAACAATGCGTGAAATGTGGCTTGCAGTACAATTACGAAAACGATTTTAACGAAAATGGTGTATACAAATATATTATAATAGGCGACGATTAACAATACTAATCCAGTAGAAATTGCCCCTTGAATTAACGGGAAACCTACGTGACATAAACAATCTTTTAACTTTTCTTCAGTCGTTGCTTGTGATGAATTAATGAAACAATAGCATATGTGAGTGGGATAATTGACACAAAATCCGATGCAAAGAGTCAAGCTAATCAGAGACACGATATCCAAATTGACTGACCATAAAGACACAAATCCTATCGTCTGCAGGGTGATGGACACGACGCAGATAGCGACAATAAGAGCGCAATGCAAATTCGGAATTAAAGAAACAAAAATGCCGAAGATTAACAAGGAAGTGATCCAGAACAGTTGAAACGATATTTGTCTGATAACGATTCCTTGCTCCATAACAGGTGTTATCAATGTATGGATTACAACGGAATATGGCGCTTCTTCGGCTATTTTCGATAAATCGTTTACTATTTTGAATTCTGTTACTCTATTCGAAACATCTTTCGCTAAGAATAAAAAGCGACTGGCGACAATATCAGTGTAATTGTGATTAAAAATGATGTCATTCTCAAATTGCTTGGCTCCTGTGAATTTGAAGAAGATGTTTTTAAGTGCATCCATAAAATCTTCCTTCTGAGTCAGATCGTAACCCCTTAAAGAATACTTCGAAATGGGATGATTTTGTAATTCCTTATAATATTTTAACCAAGAAAGCTCGTACTCCTGTCCGGCTATATTTTCAATTGTGTGAAATTTTTGCATGAAATCATTAACTGACTCCTGAACTCGTGGATTAGAATAATCTAAAGTTTCGTTAATTACGACATGAACCGCAAAAGGGTATTCGGTAAAATATTTATATAAAACATGATATCCCTGTGTAAGTTCGGAGCTTTCTGAATCGAATTTGTAAACATTTAGTCCCTCCTGTAAGGACATAACACCCCATAAACTAATTGACAGTAATATAAAATACGATAAAATAATAAGAATTCGTGATACAGGATGAAAAATAAAAGCTGAAAATGTATCTCTGAAGAACTTCATAAAACAGTCTTCACTTTCTTCTTTACAATAGTCACTTTGTCCAATAGTTTCTGTAAAATAAAAATATGTTTTATAGATAAATTAAGTTCATTTCTATGATATTTAATATTAATAAATAATTCTTATGCTACGTAATGTTATGGAAACTATAATGAGCAAAAGCATAACTTTACAGAAATTTTACAAACCAATTAACCATAATATTGTTAGTAGAAAAAATGAATGAAAGGAATCGATTGTATGTTGTAGCAGATTAAGAAACCACTTTACTACAGACGAAATTTGAGATGGAATACATTTAAAACATTCTTTGCAATCCAAATTCCATATCAGTGAAAATGGTGATATTTTAATGGTACCGTATTTTCACTTAGTTCTAATTTAACTAAACATTTTATTGACTTATCCTTAATTGCAAAGATATAATAATGATTAATTATTCTTGCCTTACTGTTCTTTAGTTTTTTAATATATATTTTGTCAACTTATACATTAATTATTAATAGGACAATTATACTGATTTTTAATTTTTACGCAAGAACTGAGGAAAAAATTCTTAATTTGAAAATTCAGCAGCCGCTATTCTGGTGATTAAGAATATGCAAGGTGAGAAACTGTCAAAAGAAATAGAATTAAATAGAGGTCTGGTACCTAAGAACTTGTGAAAAAGAAGAAATAAGTCTACCACTTGAAGCTTACCTGTAAGTATAAGTAAAACGTGTACAGATATCTCAATGAAGAAAGTCTTTTTCCTCAATTCTTGCGTTAAAATTAAAAACCAGTATAATTGTCTTAATAATTAACGTCCAAGTTGACAATATATATATTAATTTAATAATGATGATTTTATACAGAGTCTATATCAATTTTTGGTAAATATTTGTCTGTGTTGTATGAGATTGTCTTGCTTAATCTGAATTTTTTCACTGTATGACGACAAGAATGTTCTAGATTATTTGTTACTACCAGTTCAAATATACGCTTTATGACGGGCTCTGAAAGTAGAATGTAATTCAGGCATGGCGAACATACGACCTGCGGGCCAGATCCGGCCCGTCTAATGAATTTATGTGGCCCGCGATCAATCTTACAATATGAGGTACCGAAGGCCGAATAGCTCGAAAGAAAATTCTGAAGTCTAAAAAAAAAGGTCAACAACTCACTGTTCGTTTAGTGTTAACACTCCATTACAAATCTCGTAAGTACAGCGTAGATTGTTGATAATGCATGATAATGTGAAAAATGTATCTGTAATCTCTATCTACAATCCAGTCTCTACGAGGTGACAGCACAATAGATCTCGCACCACCTCAAATCATCCTAGGGAAGCCTTTAGTTCGGTCCGTGGAACATGTTTTTATTCCAATTCAGCCCGGGGGGCAAAAACTATTGGCCACCCTGATTTAATTAGTGCTTCTATTAGTTTTTACGTGCGTAATAAAAAGAATGTTTAACACGACACACTCGACACCGTGAAGTCATTTGCCCAAAGCAACAAAGGTTATACCGTTTCTAATTGTAGGACATAGAATTCAAAACGATTAGTTTAAAAACTTCATCGGTTGTTTCTTTAGATGCTGGGAACATTCGTCCACTTGCCTTTATTCTAGGCACAAACAAATATATAAAAATGTTAACATTAAATTCATGACGTTAGAATATGTCTCTTTACTATCTTTTGATATACTGTATACACTGATGAGTGATAGATGTAATGATAGCAAAAAAAGGTTTTGCTTTATCAGTTTGTTGCGCTTTTGATATTTTTTTAAAATTACATCTTTAAAACGCAACATTTATTGTGAAAAATGTCAACAAAAGCAGCAACGAGTTGCCTAACTTTACCAAATACCAGTAAACTTGGTTTGAGGCGATCTGTTATGATTTTTTTCTTTAAAAACTTATTATACTTTTAATTATCATAAAGTGTAGAAAAGCTAAATTTTGGCAGTAAAGGCGTGTTTTATCAACAAATTGAAATTTCTAATAAACAGAAAATAAGTCTTTCATGACGATCTAGTTGAATATGATATACAATTTCCTCTATTTCCTTACCCTTTCGATATTTATTCGTCAAAAATTTATGGTGTAAATTCTTCAATTTCTTTCTGGTAGCGCCGAAAAGCTAACTAATATGGAATTATGGAAATCTACAGTTATGTTTACTTTGTCACATTTACTAAGCAATATAATATTCAAAATCAAATAATTTTTACTTTTTACATTTAGACATTTAAAAGTATATAACCTAAGTTATAATTAAAACAATAAAGACATAGTACAAGGTCTGTTCAGAAAGTATCGGACCTTTGGTCGGCAAAAATAAATTTATTGACTTTGAGGTACAAAACCGTAATCCCCTTCAAAGTAGTCTCCTTGGTAGTGTATACACTTCTCCCAGCGTTCCTGCCATTGCTGGAAACACTGCTGGAACGCATCTTTTGGAATGGTTATCAGCCGGTCCGTCGCATTTCGCATGATGTCTTCTCTCGACTAAATTTGGGTTCCTTTTAGCGGCATTTTCAGCTTGAGAAATAGCCAAAGGTCACACGGAGCCATGTGGAGAGAGTACGGAGCGTGACGAACCACAGGAGTATTGTGTTTGGCGACGAAAGCCCGAATCAGATGCGCAGAATGGGCGGATGCGTTATCACGATGGAGCTGCCAAGTTTTGATCGACCACAGATCCGGTCGTTTGCGTCGCACTGTATCGGAAAGACGACGAAGGACCTCCTGGTAGTACTCCTTTGCGATGGTTTGGCCTTGTGGTGCGTACTCACGACACACCACCCCACGAGAGTCGAAAAAACTGTCAACATGACCTTTGATATTGCTGCGGACCTGCCGCGCTTTTTTTGGCCTCGAGGATCGTCCCCGAAAGCCTGCTGAATCTTGCGAATGGTTTACACTCGGGTATCGCCAAGGTTTTTGGCAAAATTTGATGTAATATCGCTGCTCACGTTGTTCAGTCATTTTCCAGCTTAGTGAAATCCGACGAGAGCGCACTACATGACCTCACTCATACGCCGAGTGCCAACGACTGACGCTTCCTGCAGGCGGGAAAAAACTCAGGGCTGTGCATGACTGTCCCCTCCACAACTCCACCGAAGGAGGCCTCTCTCGCATCATTGGTTTACGCGGAAAAAAAAGGTCCGATACTTTTTGAACGGACCTTGTATTAACTATTTTTATAATTTACAATCTACAACAAACGCCCCATTAATTAAATCACCTTTAACGGAGCTTATGTCATGTCAGAAGTGAAATGACCAGTCATTAAAAAAGTATTTTGCTCAATACAGTTTAAGCTTTAAAGTATTGGTAGAAAATCTATGAAAATCAATACTAATATATATTAAATAATTTTAAAATTTTTACCAAAAGCTGGTTTAAATGTAAAAGGATGAAGACCCTTCTCTTCTCTGTATCCACTTAATGCCAAACATCCGCCGAAAAAAAACAACTGAAAGAAATAACTGAAGAACACGCACGTTGCGGCATAGAAACAGAATATTCTTATACCCGGGAATGGTGACGTCATGGCAATACAATAGGAGAAGAAATTCGTCAGAGACGTTATGGTGATGGACACTGCTGCGTTGCGATACGTCTGTTCCATTCGCTTTTCTACGCTGTGATTGCAGTCTGTTACCTTCCAACAAGCCAATACCACAAACGAGTCGTCCACTTCCGTAGCTTTAATATATCGAAACAATATAAATTAGTAATTTTGGTAGTATTGAAACCCTGCCAGTAATGTTTAGTAATTAGAACACAAATCAATTATTGCATTTATTCAGACAATTGTCAAATCTCATCATTAAACTAAATAAAATTTAATGATAAGATTTGCCAAGCAATAATTGGTTTGTGTTCGAATTAATATATTAGTAAAGCAAAATATATTGGTATTTACAAGTATTTTATGGATCAGCTTACCAAGAATCATGAAAGGAAGGCAGATGTTCCACCGAAGATTTTCTACTCCACAGGCCGATAATAATCCAAAAGCGGTGGTCACAGCCAGACCCGCAGATACGACAGAAGCTACGCCTAACCAGGGTTTGGACTTTATCCAATTGTTAGTCATGTTCGTCGACATGCAGAAAATAGCCACTACGACCACAGCAACGCTTATTAAAGGAACTAATTTCTGTGAAATTCGTTTTATTTGAAAACCGGTAGACGCTACTGGCTCGGAAAATGTTTTAATATGCTGAAAACTATAATCCCTCAACCTGTTGTAAACTGCCTTTGTCCATACTTTATTCCACATTTTCTTACTTGCATGCGATTCATCCGTTGGATATATTAAACGAACGGCTTTTGCTTCAGTTACGTATCCTTTGTCGTCTGTCGTCACCCCTCCTAAATTCGAACAAAGGAGTTTGTACGCGTATGTTACAGGATCTATATTAACGGGATATTTCAATGATAATATTTCATGAATAGTATTTTCGGAGTTGTTTAGCAGATTAATAAGAGTATTTTCTGAACACTTGCCGTCTACACTCTGGCACACGTCCACGTAACTAATATTCTTCCCATCTACATGAGCTATGGTATTTTTTGCAATCTTATCTACAGTTCGTATTTCGTTTAGAAATTTTTTTCGTAAAATGTTGCTTTTTCTATTATTTACTATGTAGATCACTGGAAAATCTGGGAATTTAATAAGACGTATAAAATCGAAAGTACCTGAATTCATAGGGAATGTCTTTTCTATAAACTGTTTTGATTCAAAAACTTTACCTCTGTCCGCAGCTAAGAGATAATCGATGTCGTCGTTGGTTTGAATTCTAATCAGCCCAATTGATAATAAGCCAGAAAGAATGACAGGAGCAATGACAAAATAAAGGGGATATCGACTAATTGTTATACCAAGTTGACCAATTATACTGGACACGGTGTTTGTAAGACACGAACATTTCGTTCTCTTCGAAGTGTCGATTCTTCTTACCTAAAAAATTTAAATAAATATTACTTCAGCATATGCATTTAAAATGTTTCATATAGTGGAGTGATTTTACCTGTTTATTCATTGCTATCTTGAATTAAGAATATCCTGAACTATCCTAACAATATTTAGCGTAAGGTGCTTTTCGATGATTAATTCTATCAGATTGAATGAAGTACCTTTCACATTTAAAAATATTTTCCTCAAGTATTGAAAATTCTAAGTAGAAAATCAGTTTTTTATATAAAGTGTAATTATTCTGTGTGACGTGATATAGTTTCGCCGTTCTACGTCTGATTGGACGATTTGTTTTGAAATTAACCAATTGAAGCTAGTCTTTGTTACATTGTTTCTGTTATTTTTTCTGTCGAAAACTTGTTCAAATGGACTTTGCATATTAATAGAAAATAAATTCTAACAGAATCTCATCTGATATACGACTATATAAAAATGAATTTAAAAAACGTACATAAAATATAATTACTGTACGAATGAAATAACTATTGTTGTAGTTAACAACTATAAATGTTTAAAAATACGATTCGTTCTTGTAGCTAATCACTTCAATATTTTAATAAATTTCGGTTAAATAAATTCGTCGCTATTAAAATCTTTCGAAATTACTTAAAATAATTTAATAAAATTTATATAAAACTTTCTTTCAATTTATTCCATAATTAATTTTACTATAATTATGGAATAAATATGACTAAAATATAACGAAACGTTTCTTTTTTTTTAACAACCATAAAAACGAAGTAACCTTAAAAAAAGCTATTCTTAATTTTCTCCGCCGTTCAGATGTTTGACTCTATTTTATTTGACTATCAAGAAACAAACGATGGCTTTATTTCTTTTACAAATGAATCTTATTTACTGAATATGTACTTAACTTTGTAGTTTCATTTTTCATGCGTAAAAAATTCGGGATTTCTTCATGCGTGGAACATTTATCTATGATTTACATTTGTGAAAATTAAAGGGAAAGTGTTTGTCTTTGTGGTGTTTTTTTAAATATTGTTTTAAGTTCAATTTTAATAAAAATATTTTAAAATTTAATTAGTTTTCCATTGGTGGCGTACGTCCTTTATCGATGAAGGAAGTTAATTTGGTAGCAGTCATTTGAGCAAGACAAATGACTTCAAAAAATTTTTCTTTTGTGCATTGTTTTCAAAATGGAAGTAAAAGAATACTATCAATAATAACCGTCATTATTAATCTTCATAAATTACAGCAATCAAAATACCTTTAAAAATTTGTTATTTTCCTTAGAAACTTTTAAAAAGTTGAATGATACAACTTCCCGAATTTCTGCACTCGGGCCAACCTGAAAAACCTGGCCGAACACGTGTAAGTGTGGTCATAAAGACAATTTAAGCTCCCGCAACATAGCAGGCTAAACATTTCCTAGTCAAGTATATTTATATTACAATTACACGTGTCCGTATTAGACGCCGTACAGATTTTGTATGGGGCGGAGGTAGAGAGTATTCGTATTTTTTTATATTTTTGCCGAATGACGTAGGAACTGATAAGAATCGTATATCGGCTCATAAGAGCACTATATACAGTTCTTTGCAGTTCCTAATAGGCATAAATGGCTTATTTGTTTTCAGGGTACAGAACCTTGTGAGTAGTTATGTGCCACGAAGTTTTGTATACTGAAAACTAATAGTTTGGTTGTTTATTCCGTCCTTGCCAGGATAGTCTGGTTGAAGTAATTTTCCGGATTGTATCCACATCTATAACACTTAGACATGGTCTATTTACCTTTAAAAGACCTCTCGAAGTCATTTCTACCGCGTGTTTGCGAATAATGCCGAATGGTCAAGCAAAAAACTTTGACTGGCTGTTCGATGCTTATGCGACTATGCAATAATTTTTGTATTAACAAAGTTAAATGACGCTATATTTTTTTTCTTTACCCGGAAAATCCCGCAATTTCCTCGACGACACTGTACAATGTGTTCTGAAAGTAGTCCCCTGCGGTATCTTTGATAGGGTCTGTTTCAAACTAAAATTAATTTTTGGGTTAGTAAATAAATTTTTACTTCTTAAGTGAAATATAAGAATGCGTAAAACACATGTAATGAGAAACATTGCACGGTGGAAATAACTCATAAAGCATCCTCATTATCAAAATGGGCTCTGTGCTTCATTTATTTTGAATACATTATGAGATTTTAAAATTTATTTTGTTCTTTCATAGAATTTTAATGTATTTAATTTTTTTTCGAAAAAAGTGATAATTATTCGTAATTATATAACTATTTAATGATTAAAAATGAAATAAATAATTCATTTTTTCGATCAAAAATATGTTCGTTTATGAAAATTTAATAGATACAATAATCGAAGATAAGGTAATTTATAACAAAATTAGAAACAAATTATACATTTTTTTAATTTTAACTCTATTATACTTGTTTATCAAAAACGGGCAAGCTATATCTAGTGATTTTAATAAATATTACTTTAAATATCGAAATGTTTTATTTATATTTTATATTTACCTCACCATTTAATATTTCCAGACATCAAAATTAAATTTGTAATTTTGATATAATACAGTTGTGTAGAGTTATTTCAGTTGTGTGTTCGCGGTCAGGTTTTTGTTATGAGAAAGAGTACGAGGATATACCAGATAAAGTTTGGGAACCATTAGTTTATAGTTATTACACAAATATGATTTTGTTTATTTAATTTAATAAGATTCGGCAACTCATCACGTGCGCGATTTGCAAAGGAAAAGATGTCACGATAGAAATTTTTATAAAAAACTTCCTTATTTCGTTGTTAAACACACGTGTAGTCAAGCCGGGAAATTCCAGGTAGCAAGCTTTTTTTATCAGTTTTAACCATCGATTGATTGTATCGTATGCAGCAACCAGTTTTGAAATGAATAAATATCATTGAAATTATTACTTGTAAATAATGATTAAAGTTCTTATATTAGTAAAGGACAAAACTCTATTTTCGTTACTTGTAACAAAATTTTTTACTGCTTTTTCTATCCCCGCTGTTATATAACACAGAAAAAGGTATAACGATCAGTCATAAAACAATCCTCAAATTTATACATTTATAAACTCGGAGAACCTTTATCGTCGAGAAATACAAAATCTTTGCAGGTTTTTCTGTGTATGGAAAATTAGTGTGGGGAAAGGAACGATTTTTTTCATCCACATCGAAACTTAAATAATAAAAAAATTGTTTAATACGAATATTAATCGAGTGTTATACGAAAATAAATGTATCGAATTACTCTGGTGCATTGGAGTAATTATTACGATTTATATAAAACACACGTTTCTCTTAATATTATTAATATTGAATCAGAACTATCATCGTCAATTAATCATGAAAATAGTATCTTTAAAAATTTCGAAATAAATTTTTTAATGAAAGTTTTATGCATACATTCTGGCAAAACGACAACGACGTCAGCAAAAATAATTTAGAAATTCACGGAAAACTTTTACGTATTATCAACCATTGTCTTAGATTTGAACTGATAACGTTGTTCCGCGTATTCTACCACGCTATCTGCCACCTTCACGTCATTAATTAATGGTCTATCGAGTTAAAAATAAAATCTATAGCTATAGAAAAATTTTTATGATTCTTTTGATTTTGTAAAAATTTCAATAAAAAAAAATTCTCCTTTCGTACAGCATCGTCACTATTCAAATTAATAATCAGAAAAGACAAACAAATTATTATAAATTTTTATATTTACTCAAAAATTTAAAAATTATTAGAAATGAATTCTGTAAAAATTACTATCGAAAATTGTTTAGAATAAACTATATTGTTTGTTTGATTTTTTTCTTATAAAAAATTCAACCTGAGCAGCGTAAAGTATAAATATTTGTCAATATTTTTTGCAGAAAATGCAAAGAGTACAAGGAATTTACAACTAAGTTTGGTGTTATCTATTAATTAATTATTATTAATTAATAGATAACACCAAACTGAATTTTATTTTAAAATTTTTTATATTCTCAAGTATTATAAAATGGCAAAAGCTACATTTACAATGTTAAATTGAGTTTTATAACCAACTTTAAACGCTAATAACGAATACTAGTTTGGTGAATTCTTACTCTCCTTGAGGTTTGACACACGAAACTCATTATCAGCTCTTACTTCAAATTCTAACCACATAAACTTAATAGATTAAATTTACTTAATATACAAACCACTCAACAAAACTTCAAAAAATTCAAAAGTAATTACTTTGTTTTTTATATTCTTTTTCAAATATTATAATTTAAAAATATTTTTAAAAACTAATAAATAAAGCTATTTATATTAAGACACGTGTTTGCTAAACGAATCTATCTTTATTGTCAAAATTTCTATTTGAAATATTTGCCGTTAATGTAGACTATTAATTGTGCATTAATGTTCATATTTCTGAATAAATATGTATGTACCAAATTACTGCATTTGTTTTTCCATTTACTGCTATCAAAAGTCACAATCATCATCGTAGGATTATAAAGTAAGGAAAACGACATTCAATACTTTATTACATGTATTGTTTTGTAAGACAATAGGCTATTGTTTATTTTGACGGTTTAAGATGAATTGATAAGACTCGCCGAACGGCTTCAGGTAGTTTATAACGCAGATAATTGGTAATAATATAAAAAACAAACATTTTCTTGAATTGTAAATGATGTTGTGTGTTAATTTGCTTACAAAAATACATCCACGAATTAGGTTAACAAATTGCAAACGTTACAGGAAAAGTTAATGAACTCGTTGCTCGATTTTTATATTTAAATTGTCTGAAAAACTTTAACCGTAAAACTGTTTTTTATTATTGAAAAATTCAGTTATTTTTTTGTTTTTAAGTTGTCTGCTAGCAGACACAGAACTTCATTTTCCCTAATCATATTTTATCACTCAAACTTGTTTCGAAGTAAAAAGATTCATGTGTTGCTTTTTAGTAGTAATTTTTATGACTTTTTTGTCACTTTTTATGTGTTTCATTTCACACATTATTTGCAAGAATTGTAAAAAATTTCTCTGTTTAAACAGCGCACTTTTTCAAATTTATTTATTTTGAAGAAAACGTTCAGTTTATAAATTAAAATAATGCTCTATTTGTATTCAGAATTGAA